CGGGCCCGGGGCCGCGGGGAGGCAGGGCGGTCTGGCCCAGGTGGCGCCAGGGACGGGCTTTGCTGTCGAGTGCCGCTGTCACTGATAACAAAGTACAAAAGTACCTGCCGGTGGCCTTTGCGTAACCAATAACCTCAAAAAATCGTAGAGATTTTCTCGAGATAGGATAACGTGCTGGCGTTTTGTTCCTCTTCAGATATGTATATGTATCTTTTTTGTTCTTAGTGAAAAGTGAACCGTGATGGCCTCTACACCTGCTTCTCAGCCTTCTCCTAAAAAAACAGTAGCCTCTCAGGTGCCTTTTGCAGATCTATGCTGTACTCTTGAGCGAATGCAGACATGTAAATCTCGGCCAGAGAAAACCAAGTATTTCAAGGAGTTCCTGGATTCCTGGAGGAGGTTCCATGATGCCCTTCATCAAAAGGAGAAAGATGTCACAGATTCTTTTCACCCAGCAATGCGACTTATTCTTCCGCAATTGGAAAGAGAAAGGATGGCATATGGAATTAAAGAAACTATGCTTGCAAAACTGTATATTGAACTGCTTAATTTACCAAAAGATGGGAAAGATGCCGCAAAGCTTTTACATTACAGAACACCTGCTGGCTCACGTGGAGATGCTGGAGATTTTGCAATGATTGCGTACTTTGTGCTAAAGCCTAGGTGCCCAAAACAAGGCAGACTGACAATAGAACAGGTCAATGAACTTTTAGATGCAATAGCTAATAATAATGCTGCCAAAAACAAGGGTCTGTTAAAGAAAAGCCTCCTTCAGTTAATTACTCAGAGCTCAGCACTTGAACAAAAATGGCTTATCCGGATGATTATAAAGGATCTGAAACTTGGTGTTAGTCAGCAAACTATATTTTCCATTTTTCATCCTGATGCTGCTGAATTATACAATGTCACAACTGATTTGGAAAAAGTTTGTAGACAACTGCATGATCCCACTGTCTCGCTTAGTGATGTTTCTATCATGTTATTTTCTGCCTTTAAACCAATGCTTGCTGCTATTGCTGATGTCCAGCAAATTGAGAAACAAATGAATAATCATATATTCTACATAGAAACTAAACTGGATGGTGAGCGTATGCAGATGCACAAAGATGGAGATGTATATAAATATTTTTCCAGAAATGGGTATGACTATACTCAGCAGTTTGGTTCTTCACCCCTTGAAGGTTCGTTGACTCCATTTATTCATAAAGCATTTAAAAACAATGTACAAAATTGCATTCTTGATGGTGAAATGATGGCTTACAATCCTGAAACACAAACATTCATGCAAAAAGGAAACAAATTTGACATAAAAAGAATGGTGGAAGAATCTGATCTGCAGACCTGCTACTGTGTGTTTGATGTATTAATGCTTAATGATCAGAAGTTGGGCCATGAAGCACTAAGCAAAAGATACGAGATCCTAAGTGACGTATTTACCCCAGTAACAGGCAGAATGCATGCTGTACATAAAACAAGCGCCAGAACTAGAAAAGAAGTAATTGATGCTTTAAATGAAGCAATAGATAACAGAGAGGAAGGAATTATGGTGAAAGATCCCATGTCCACTTACAAGCCTGACAAACGTGGGGAAGGCTGGTTAAAAATCAAGCCAGAATACGTCACTGGGCTGATGGATGAGCTAGACCTTTTGATTGTTGGTGGTTACTGGGGAAAGGGGTCACGTGGTGGAATGATGTCTCATTTTTTGTGCGCTATTGCGGAGACTCCACCTCCAAATGAAAAACCTAGTATTTTCCACTCGATTTGTCGTGTTGGCTCTGGTTATACTATGAAGGAATTGTATGATTTAGGTTTGAAACTGGCTAAACACTGGAAGCCCTACCATAGGAAGGACCCTCCATGCAACATTTTGTGTGGAACTGAAAAACCTGAAGTGTACATTGAACCTTGTAACTCTGTAATAGTTCAGATTAAGGCAGCTGAGATTGTTAACAGTGATATGTATAAAACTGACTGTACTTTGAGATTCCCCCGAATTGAGAAAATAAGAGAGGACAAGGAATGGTATGAATGCATGACTTCAGACATGTTAGAACATCTCAGAAGCAAAGCGGAAGGAAAGCTGGCCTCTAAGCACCTTCCAATAGATGATGATGATGAGCCACAAGAGAAAAAAAAGAAAACTGTACCTAAGGTGAAGAAGATAATTGGAATAGCTGAGCAGTTTAAAGCCCCTGATCTTTCTAATATAAACAAAGTTTCAAATGTATTTGAAGATGTTGAATTCTGTGTTATGACAGGAACAGGAAGATACTCGAAGTCTGAATTAGAAAGCAAAATAGCTGAATGTGGTGGCAGTGTGGTACAGAACCCTGGACCAGACACGTACTGTGTCATTGTAGGAACTGAGAATGTCAGAGTGAAAAACATCATTGCTTCCAACAAGTATGATGTGGTGAAGGCAGAGTGGCTTCTCCAGTGTTTTCAAACCAAAATGCTTGTACCTTGGCAGCCTGCCTTTATGATTCACATGTGTCCTGACACAAAAGAACATTTTGCTCGTGAGTATGACTCTTATGGAGACAGCTATACAGCAGATACAGATGTTGCACAACTAAAGGAAGTGTTCTCAAGAATGAAAGATAATAGTAAGATGATGCCATTGGACATGATTGCTGTATTAGAAGAACGTTATTCATGGAACAGCTGCCAGCTCAGTATGTTCAGAGGAAACACTATTTATGTGGACTGTTACGTTGTTGTTAATGAGCCTAGAACAAAAATCCATGGAACAAGATTATCAGTTAGAGCTTTGGAGCTCCGATTTTATGGTGCAAAAGTAGTCCCTCACCTAGAAGAGGGTGTGTCCCATGTCATTATAGGAGAAGATCACTCCCGGGTAAAAGAGATGAAAGCACTGAGGAGAACATTTGGTAAAAAATTTAAAATTGTGTCTGAGCTGTGGGTAACTGATTCAGTGGAGGAAGGATTCCCAAAGAATGAAAATCAATACTTAATTTAAAGTAACTTTGAAGCCAGAAGCAAAAACGCTCTTGTTGACAAGATTACGCTTGGACATTACGGAGTTATGTTGAGTTTTCTGAATCTTCTATTGTCTGGTTAAACCTGAAAGAGTAACAGTATCTTGTAGAAACTAGAGGAAGGCTGTTAGTGGCACTGCTGTGGAAGAAAGAGGAGGCGGCTGTGCTATGTGGGAGGGAGGAAACATAAGATAACCTAAGCCTTTTACTTCACAGACAAGTCTAAGGAGAAATGTATTCTTCTAGGTAAGGCAATTCTTAGCCATTAATGGTGCCTGCCTCCATTGTTCAAAATGGAGTCAATTAATTACCATTTTAAGGAAATTCTACTATTTAACGTATTGCTTATTTATAACTATATAATCACGTTCATGTTGTTATTAGAAATAAACTAGTTGTTCTATGTATACTTTATGTGCTACAGATTTTGCTAATTTATAAACCTTCTCTGTACTGTTTTAATTTGTTTACATAATTTTTAGCATTGAGCCTCCACGCGGTCTGAGTAGCGCTTCCGTTTCAGGATATTACATTAATCCCATGTTTCTTGGTATAAAAACCATTGTAAAATAGAACCTAAATTTCTGAGTGAAGTGTTAATGAATTAATAGTTACCTATATGTTTGTAAAATGCACAGTAATTACTTAAAAAGTGTAATTACTTCCTCTCCCCATTACAGTTAAAGTCAAACCATCAGTGTGACAGAGCTAATTTTTTTACGCTCAATTTTCAGTTTATCTTTCTAAAAATGTTTCATAAGCTATTTCAGTAATGTGTGAGATTAATTTCCAAACAGTTCCGTTTTAAAAAAATATTAAATAAAATGTGTTTTTAAAGTCTGCCTGGTATGTTGTTTTAGGGAGAGGTAACTCTTTGAAAAACATGAAACACGTAGTTTCTGATTTTACTCCATTAAATAATTTATGCGTTAACTTTGAGGGGAGAAAGATTCAGGCCTGAGTTCTTGTTAAAGAAGTCAATGCAGGTGTCGAACAGAACTGCTTTTGGGGTGATCAAATAGAACCAGGTTTTGAATGAGCTGTTTGTTCAGTGGTTTTTTTTTTTTTTTTTGTGATTGTGTTCATGTAAAAAATTATTTTAAAAAGGATCAGGAAATATTGTATGAAAGGCTGAATGGAAGAACATTTATTCTTATCCGCTATAGTAAGTATAGGAGCTCCTGTACTTTCCAAGATATTATAAAAGGTAACCACATAACCACTTTTCTTAAGTTACCATATGATTTGCTAAAAAAGCAGAATGTTCATTCTTTGTTTTTCTATACTTAAGATAGTAAATACCGAAAGATAGTACATGATTTTTTTTCCTTAAGTAGAAAGCTACTGTGTGTGAAATGTACTCTTAAAGCTTCAGTCTTAGTATTCCTTGCCATGCAATCTAAGTTGCTAGTCTTCCTCCATCTAATGGCCTATTTTCCAATTTATAAATAGAAATTGGGCAGAGTTTGTCTTTATACCCACATAGATTTCTTAAACAGATTTTAGTAAAACATGTATTTTAAGTGATCATGGTCAGGAAGGTTAAGAGACAGCAATGCAAATAGGATTTACAGCTGACTGTTGAGACAATGCAAAGTATCTCACCTCAAATGTAATTTACAAAAATGCATATAAGTCTTATATACAGGGGAACCTAGAACTAAGTATTTATCAGCAAAATTGTTATTCTTCAGTGACCCATTAACCGCAATGTATTAAGATGTCTTTTTTAATAGAAAATTTTAAAAAATTGAGGTTAGACTATGGATATTTGGATGAAACTGGACCCTGCTATTGTTAAAATATGTGTCTAAAATATAAGCCAGGGACAGGAGAACCATTAACATTCTAGGCTAAGTGATTCTCATAGCAAAACAGTAGTTACAGGAAAAGATCCAGAAGTTCAGGGATCTGCTTATTTTCAAGGGAACTCTGATATGTACTGAAGGAACAAAAGAAGGCTAGAAATGATTCAAACCCAAGGATATATTTTTCAGATAAAAAATTGTTTCTTTTTTTGTTCTATTTTGAGGGGGGGGGGTTGTTTGTTTTTTTTATAAAGTCAAATTAGTTAAAGAGGGGTGGGAGAAGTTGCAGGCATGATGTCTCAGGATGGATATTACCCAAGGTATGTAGGTAGATGTATGAGCTGACAGTCACAGAGGGCTATAGATATAGACAAATAGAGGGCTTGTGTGCCAAAAAACTGCTTTGAAATGTAAAACCAACTTTATTACTATATAATCTTTGTCCACTAAAACGAGACTAGTATTCAAGGAAGACGGAAAGTTGGAGTCAAAATGCTGAAAGATTAACCTGATATTTGAGGTTCCAAAGGACCTCATCTGATTATGAAAAATCAGCCAGCTGTATCTCTTCACTAAATACCTCCATTTTCTTAAATGTATTTAGATGTTAGAAGATAGGGATTTTGCAGGTGAAGACTTCTTAGCTTATCTACATTTGGTGTAAAGCTGGTATTTCTTTTATTTTTAAATAAGCACTGTATACTTGAGAGTAAGCCTTTCAATTTGCACTGTAGTGTATAGTTTTAAATTTATTTTAAAATGATGTTAATATTCCTGAAGAAGTGGAAAAAGAACTTAAAAAAAAAAAAGGGAGGGGGGACACTGTCAGGAGATTAAACTTTGCTGTTTGAGGAAAGTAGAGAAAAGTTTCTTGATGTTCTTATTCACTGGTTTGTAACTGACACTTGCTGAAAATGCTGTCAGTGGAGAAGGAGAAAGGAGAAGACAGCAACTTTCAGGACTTGATGTAGCAGAACATCTGCTATGTCCTATCCCATCTGCAACTGTATGTTTGTCAATGATAGTACAATTTCTTTGTCATTTATAAAAGCACAGGTTGCTGCACAGACAATAAACTTCACAAGCCTCAAGTCCACTGTTTACGTTGTTATAAAACAAGAAAAATCCAAATAGGCTCAGATCTAACATTTTTCTTCTCTCAGAGGCGTATATTCAAACTGCTACAGTGCATTTCTCTAGTAAAAGGTGTATACATAGCCTGTGGACAACTTGCATGCAATGGCACAAATCTTGCCAGGGGCTTTGGGAGCTATATATATGTTTATTCCTTAATGTAATTTCTCTGACTTGGTGTTGGAAACACAGCATGTATTGATCATACAGAGCTGGTGAGATCTGAACTGTGCTTATAGCTGTAAATTGAAAGGATAGAGTTTGCTAATATTGTAGTTGTTTATGCCATGTAAAGTAAGTTCTAAATGCTGTTTGGCTATTTTGCATCCTTTTCACATGCAAATGTATGTAAATATGACTATTGCAAGGCAACAGAGAAATGAGTCCTGCCTCACATACTTGTTGCCTCTACTATCAGGATGTAAGAAGCTGAAGAGCTAAGTAATTGACATTCAAAAGGCATTGCAGTGTGGTACTGGCAACTAACTTAAACTTGGCAATGATATATATCGCTAGGATATACATTGAATTATTTTAATTTCATAAATACAATGATCCCATTAAGCAAATCACAAGTATATGCATAAGCTGAACCTAAAAAGGTGAAGAAAAACGATTCCCTTGGTGGGGGGGAGCAGAGAGGAAGAGGGTCAATTTCTACAAAATAAGTAGTCTGAGAACCAATCAGAAAACAAGAAAGCCTTGATTGTGCTGATGTGTAAGCCTCTAACTTTAATCAGTTCTCTTGCTTTATTTCACATTTCCTCTGCTTGTACATTTAGTCTGAAAATAATTGACATTTTTGCTGTTTTAAGGGGCTTAAACATCTTTCTTGCATCTGCAGATAAGATTTAAAATAGAGTCTTGGAAAATATCATACCGTTAACTATTTAATTATCCTTCTAAGGCCTGAAAGCTAGTAACACTGAAGGCGATGGTGTATATACAGATTACAACCTGCTGACTGTGTTGAATATATGTTATCCTAGCAATTTCACATTTAAAACATTGTTAAGTAGTAACACTAGGAACACTCAATTGCATGGCTGAATAAATGTTTCCCTCTTTTTACTGCAATTTATCTGTAGCATTGTAGTAGCTCTGGGTCTGTTTATGCATCCCAGCTATACTGAAAACGTAATGATTGTCAGAACCAACTTCCTGAATTTGCCTCCTGCTTTTAAAGAGATAAATTGCTGGAGAAGGAAAAGGCAGGAAGCAGCAGTGAGTCAACACAGTACACCATCTGTTTTCCTACGTACTGCTCTTTGTACATATTGCATGAAATGATCACTGGCTAGTTAAATGCATACTTTAATTAGGCAGATAGATATAAATAGCCTTTTGCGGAAGATATGCTGAAAAGTCATTATTCAAAGAATTAATGAAAATCATCCCATTCTAGTTAATGAATTAATATTTTCTTTGTTTTGAAGAACAAGGATGATTCACGCACTTAAACTGTAGCAAAATGATTATAGTCGGTTGCTTTTGCTACTTGACCCACAACAACCATGACAACTTGTAAGGGAAATTATTTCAACCACATACGAGTAGGATTTCTCCTGCATAGTAACTTTAGAAATGGGAAGCAGCTGTCAGTGCCCTGAGCACCCACACCCCCTTCCTAGGGATATGACTGCCTGTAGTCTTGGTCAGCTCTGGCATGGTGGAGCTGTGTAACCTTGGTCAGACTTGTGAAGAGAGCTGTGTCAGAAGGAGTTGCTGGGTACCTCCCTCCATTTACTTGGAAGCTGCCCCTGGTCTTGGTCCTTGCCTGAACTATATGGAAAATCTCATCCCCCATAGAATCCATTTCCTTATGTCCCTTATTTGTCTGATATTTGCTTTGGATGTAGACTGATTTCCAGAACTGAAATCCAAAACTCTGATATCTTATAACTTTTTGCTATACCAAGTTTGTTAGGTCAAATGTTTAAAAACTGTGTTCCCTGTTACTGAATCTATTTCCTGCAAATATATGTAAATAATATATTTAAATGTATTGAAAATCTGAATGCATAGCTTTGAGAAGAGGATCAATTTAGTCTAAAGGAAGGAAAGAAGCCAAAATCTGTTAGTCCTTCCCTCTTTCATAAATGACATAAAAGATGTCATTTACGTACACAGTATGACTATTACTGTGTGATGCGCCGCTAGAGGGGCATCCGGGATTCTTTCAGAATCTGGGGTTAGTTGCATGGAACTCAAGAGATCATCATTTGTCAGATGTAAGAATTTATTAGATCTAAGCGGTTCTACACATATGATGGACACTGGACAACACTAAACAATTAACAGCAGACAATCTACAAGTATAACAAAGCTAAGAGGTATAGTAAAGAATTAAAAAAAAAAAAACAGACTACACATATCAGAGCTCTATGGTTAAGCCACGGAAGCACAGTACAATGACTGTTCTTGGATGCACGGTAAAATGATGGCTCTCGCCCTTTCCTTGTCCTTATGGGCCACCCCTCCGGTATAGTTTTCCCTGGGTTACTCTCACCACACTTGAGCTGCGCCAAGAGGATTCAGGTTCTCCCTGGCAGTTGGCATCAGGGGTGTCCCCGCTGATGGGTGGGTTGTCGGGTCTGCAGGCCAGCTGACGGTGAGTCTGAGTCCACACAGAGGTATGTATGTGGCTTGCTTTCTTTTATCCTTCCTGAGCTTAGTTAATTATTCAATCAATCAGTGCCAGAGCATAGGTGGACAGTGGAACAGAATGGCCTCAGGTGATAACAGTGTGGATGCCAACAGGAAGGTCAACAGAGTGCTCAGCAGTATGGTCAGCAGATAATGGTACTCACATTCAACAGCTGTCAGGACGAAATTCCAAGGTACCTAGATGCTTACAGTGTGAGTCTGCAGTGTCACTTCTCCTTTGCTAACTAGGTTTGCTCTGCACTCATGAGGTCACTGGAGGCTACAGCAACCCCACAGTGTGGTGGCTCTGTCCGTAGTGCACCTGGGGTTCCTCAACACTTGGGGAGCACTCCAAAGCAAACCCCTCTTCTACGGTCTGCACCATCCTGATTCCCACACTTGTCTATGTGGCGCCTATCATATTGCACCTCAAATTAGTGATCAGATGACAGATTCTTAAAAAGCTCTTTAGCCTGCTAGTGAGGTGATGTGCTGTCTCTTATAGTATTCGACCTTTCTGTAAAAAAAAAAAAAAACCTCATTTAATCTTCCAAATCTATATGTAATTTCAGTTTGAATTATTTCAAAAAAGGAACTTGAAGTTTTAAGTTTTAAAATTTCCTATCCAAAAAAAAAAAAAAATCTTTTATAGGAGACTGGGGAAAAGCCTTTTAAGATAGTCAGTTACAGTAAGCATAAAACATCTGCAGTTATAACAGTTGTACCACAAAACAGTAGTTGGCCTATACAATTTTACTGTATTGCTGTTTGCAATTAATAGGAATGGGAGAACAGTCTATAGCTTTGTATTATTATACAAACCTAACAGTAAAGGTGGAGCTTGTATGTATAATTAAAATGTTTCTTCATGTTATTTTCTAGTACTTATTTTCTAGTAGTATGGAAGCTAAAAGGCATACAACTTGAAATTATATTTTTAGATAAAGCATATTTAGCATTTAAATGAGATACTTTCACAGCTGTAACTTTTCCTTTCTTTGTAATTTTTTAAAAAAATTATTTTGAAAGGATATATGAGGGATGATTTATTTTTAAATTCAAACTGCAAGCTTTTTTAAAGCATTCATATTCATATATTAGCATAATTTTTTCTTTCAAAGAATGTTAAAAAGATGTAGAGTGACTAAGCCTGTGACTTCATTTGAAAAGTGGTATAGCAAGTATATATCAACATGTACATTGGCCTATGTTAGTGACAAAATATATTTAAATTCATTCTTCTGTTAATACTGCAGATAGAGGAAGTGTATAAAACTAGAGATCAATTTTCTCTCCTGAGCCACAAATTATTATGCACAGATTAGAATACAGACTTTTGGACTTTCCAATCTCAAGATGAAGGAAAAGAAGTTACTGAAAATAGCTTCC